AGAGCTTTGGAATTTGAGGAGCAAAAGCAATATTTGATTGACATCCATCGAAATTAAATATGAAAATTACATATTTGATTTTTCTTAGTTCTTACCTTTGCTCACTCTAGAACTGACATGTTCATATTTTCATGTTTTACGATTTTGTATAATCACTCTGCTTAGCTACAATCATAATTAAAAATAATTATCTTAAATTAAATATTCATCAAATAATGATAAAAATAAAGAAAAATTATTTTTAACATCATATGAAATATATATATTTTAGTCTGACAGACTCTAGTTTATGTTTTAAATCTCGAAAAATGTTTATAGATTGATTGAATAAACTAATACTAGTTTTATCTCTATTCTTCTCTCATTGAGATTTTTTTTCATCGGCCCTTCGTATTCATTGAAGTTTTATATATATAATCTGCATTTAAGAAGTATAATAAAGGAATAAATTCAAGTATGAATAATTTAGTAAATGATATTCGATTTTATCTATTTAAAACCAACATTATTCACAGCGAATGATTGTTTGTGAGAGAAACGTTGAAAAATATCTCTCGTCGATCTTTCATTTTACAAAATAGAAACAACATTCAACTATATATTCAACAACAAATAAAATCATCCGAACAACACAATGTGCAATCTACTGCATGTGTAAACAACTAACAACAAATAGATCTTTTATTTTTCAGTACCTTTTACTAATTCTATAATTAGCTGCTTCAAAACTATCGGTCACAAAATCGTGAGCGACAGCTCGTTATAAGAGTAAAGAGTGAGAACTTTCTTTCTAGTAGATTTTCTAATATTTCTTATTTCGATGTATATAGAAGATACTCTTGGTGAAGCGAGTCATTTCATTTCTTCAACATCTCGATTACTAACAAGATCATGAAAAAGAAAAATAGCTGGTTGATCTAATAATTTTTCTTATTAAACAGGACGTAAAATAATAGATGAATGATTATTATGACGATAACAACAAAATAATTTTGCGTGGCGTTTTCGACTTAACTAGATAAAGTAAAATTCTACAAAGACTATTTCTAAATATATTAATTGTGTTCCATTCTGTCGACAAATTTTTTTATATATTTCACGTTCTTAGAAATAATCATCAACTCTTGTATTATTTATTTTACAATTTTTCGTTTGTGAAACTATTGAAAATAATTTTAAATTTTGTTTATCATTCGTATTCATATCATCTTTTCGTTGTTGTTTAGTTAATATTCGATTTTTTCTAATAGTTTCATAATAAATTTTATATTTATTATCATGAACATGATCCGAAGCTAGAAAAATTCAAATGTTTTATTTTTAATGAAAAGAAATCAAATGTTATTTATCAATTGTAAGCATTTCTTCAGTTACTGCTAAAGCATGTTCAATATTCCTTGCGACAAAATATCAAATTTAATTGAGAATAAAGAGAGAAAAAGAAAATTCTTTTCTTTTACTTGTGATGTTGTATAAACAAGATAATCTAAAATATGAATTTTCTTTCTAGACGTTTCATTAGTTTTTTTATTTAAATAATCAAATGCTTCTTGCATCTGCATTAATCTATGATAACAAATCTCTATTTGTACGTGTAACACGTCTCAAGTCATAATATTTCAAAGCTATAAACAAATAAATTATAGAAAAATCGATAAAGAAATTTTTCTTCGACTAACTACTCAATTGTTTTCATTGAAATTTTTTACTTATTTCACCATTTACTAATTGACTTGTATTTTATTTTTATGTATCTTGGAAACGCATTAATACGAAATTTTTGTGAAAAATCTAGAAAAAATATTCATTGATGATTACATTAAATTATTTATACTAGCAGATAAGAATTCTTCGATATAATATCATTCGACTGTTAAATGTTTAATAAATAAATATGAATTAACTCAATTACCAAAATAATATTCTTCATTTCCTTCTACTTCTCCAATTTCATCTTTAATTATATTTACAATTCTTTACAAAAATTAAATATATGAATCTATTTTAATAATTGAGTTAAATGTCTTGTTGATAATGAAATAACAACAAAATAATAAAGACAAAAAATATCAAATGAGAAAAAAATGATACAAAGAAAACGAACATTGGTACAATTATCAAACAAGTTTAATAAAGATAATTAAATGATAAATATCAAGTTTAAATTCAAAGAAAAAAAAGAATAGATATTCAACATTATTAATTCGTAGGAAATCACAACATCTCTTCTATGGAATACGCGTCTAGCTTCAATGTTTTTCTCATATACATCAGTCTGATTTTATTCATTAAGCGTTTTCCAAATCATTTGAACAATAAACAATATATAAACAATGCAAAAAAAAACAAAAACAATTTTAACATAAAAAGTTCAAATATTCTAACGATATATAAATATACTGAAGACTAAGGAAAAAGAAATAAAATGAATTTCTACATAGCATAGACATATTTTATAGCTTTTCAAACAATTATTATCGTCGATATTTAATTCTTGTTAAGAACATCAACAATTCGAAAATTTGATTTCGTTTTATTTCATAGTAATAGTCAAGCCTTCAATCGATAATCAGACTTATTACCAACACAAAATTATGAAAAAAGTGGAAAATATCAACGAATATCTTTTTTTTGGAGTATGAATGAACATTGCGATGCGATCGAGAAACATTCTTTTTCTTACATTGCAGTGCTTATCAATAATTGAAACAGAACGAAAAGAAAAGAAATATTACGTTATTTTGTGTTGATGATAACTTTGTCTATAGCTCAAAAGTATCACACTTACTTTGAAATAAAATAATCGGCGAATTAGTATACTTTAAAATTACACATAAATATAAATAAATCTCATGTCATTTTTTTCTTTATCAAAGTAATCTATATTAATGATAAGCTTTTTCTTTTATAGAAAATTTTTTTTTATCGAAAATTTCAACAAAAATAATTCTATATGTTTTACATTGACTTGTTCCTTTTTTATGAAAAACTCTTTGATAATAATCAGTGAAGATAACTAATCTTTTGAAATACAAAATAAAATTGATGGATTATTATACCAAAGAATAAGATGTATAAATTATTTTGCTCTTGTTCTACCATTTATTTTGTAATTATAATGACGAAGAGGTGGGGTAGTATTATCACTACCCTCGGTATATTACTCTATTATCCATTTGTGTTCATATCACACAACGTCATGTATTCTATATAAGAACACATAAAGGCAAGAGAACGAAAAAAAAAATAAAATACAGATTAGTTTTGTTCATTAAATACTATTCATATTGAAACGACGAATATTTCTCAATAAATATTAGTTTTTTTATAGTCGAAAAAAAGGATAATATAATTTTTTTGTTATTTATCAAGAAGAATAGCGCGATTGGGTGACCATCAATTCTATAAAAACCAAACTGTTTTATCTATTTGGCGCACTTAAGATATTATAACCATTTTACATATACTATTATAAAATTCGACTAAAATATAAACTATCTAATAAAGAAGAAAGATTTTAAAAAAAATAATTTAATCGATTTGAATGGCAGTTAAAATAGTTTTCTTAATTGATTTTGTTTAATAGAAAGATAACTGTACGATAAAATAAAAAATAAATGACTGTGATTCGATTGTTTATAAATTAAGATATATTATTATTTAAATTGAGTTATTTTCAATGAGAATTTGAAATCTTTTCATTTTATCATCTAAATGAAAGAAAGGAGATGTTTGATTCTATTAAGAATTATTTGGTTTTTTTAAATCTTAATTTTATATTTTTACTTTAAATGAAAATTATAGTCGCGATGATAAAAGTTTGATATTAGTATTTCTCTATAATTATTTTCTCAATTGTATCAATGATGAATAAAATTAGATTAGAATAAAATTATTTCAAATATGTAAATCAATTTATTTGACTTAATTTAAATAAGTTTGTATTAATTTTATTTTCTTTTGATTAATATTAATGTAAGACATTTCAATGAACGATAAACCGTTAAAAATTGTCTTTAAAGAAATTTATTCAGTAGTATATCTAGAAAATATCAAACATATTATAATAAAAACTGAACGACATAAATGCAAATATGAGTAAGTGTATTTGATTTCAGTTGATAATTTACTTTCTCTCAGTAATATTCGTGTAGATAGTTTATCGAGAAAGAATTTTTCGATCTAGAGTGACATTACGATTTGAGGAAGATGTTATAAAACGAAAACAATTTCTAATAGTTATTTTTCACATTTAGTGCACTTCCGATGTACGAACAAGTATTAAGAGCAAATTCAACATCATATCACTATTCCATTGTATTCCTTATCGGTTAATGACGTCAATATTGATAAAAAAAACAATGATAGAAAGACCATGTTTAATTGTAAACTTTTCGAACATGTATGTACGTGGTATATTTAATGTCGAGGAAGAGAACCAAAAATATGCACAAAACAGAAAAAAGGTAGTACTTATTTTACGCAGTACGGTAGACACCACTAGTCAAGAGGCACTCCTGGACCAAGTTTCTAATCAATCGTATTCACTGATGGAAATTTATCTTGATCTTCAACGTATATACCAACAAGAAGGTTTCGAAGATTTGCAGCGACGATGTGAAAAGATCTAATCAGACTATCTTGAGGGTGTGGGTGAGGTTAAACAAAGACTAATTAATCACACTCACATCCATTCACTTCTTCGTAGCATCATTCTTTTGTTCTTTTCTCTTTTAACTTTTTTCCCACAGTGTACTACGATGACTCGTAGCCTATGACGTAGTAAAATTTATCTTGCTAGTCAATACTACAGAAGATACTTGCGCAGTCATAGTTCAAAATATCTCTGGTTGAAAGAAATAGTTATCCAATGTTGAAGAGATTTCGATAAATTACATTCAAATTTCGTTAAAACAATAATAATTGATCATTACTTGAAAAACTCTTTGTTTAATTTGAAGCAAATTTATTTCTAGAATCTCAACATAAAGTTATTGTCGATGTCGTCATCGAATTCAACAACTTTGAACACAAGCACGACATCTAATAATCCTTCAATGCCACGAACACGTGGTACATTTATTCTAACTGTCACTACTATTGATGATGCGACGAAAGACGTCGAACGAATTACTGAGAATATCAAAATATCTGTCATCGAATTGATGAAATTAGCTGCAGCTGAAGCAACAGCACAACCATCTAACATTGTTGAAATATATGTTTGTGATCAAGAACTTGTCATTTGTTTACTCATATCATGTGCTGCAGGCGAAGTCGCGACGGCAGAAAATTTCAATCGCATTCGTAACATCGAATTTCGCACGTCGACATCCGTCAATATTTTAGATTGTATCCCTACTTTTCTAGACAAAATAATAGCACGGCAATCGGCCTATTACCGTGATGTTTTTATCCTTTACGATGATTCAAATACATATTCAATAAAAACATCTTTTCAGGAGTCAACCGACCGTCGTCTTCGAGAAATGCCCAATGTCAATTTTCAATGGATTGTCTCTTCGGATCAATTGTCATCAGAAAAAATATCTGACACATTTCTTGGCATATTTCCAGTTTATTTTTTACGAACAGCATATGATTCTGATGGCATTCGTCGCTTGATAACTCTCGTCTACGAAAGCAGGCCTTTGCCATCACACATTGAAAAAGTAACCACTGTATCGACGATAGCTAGCAATGAAATGGTTAATACACCAGTATCAACTCGCACAAATCTTCGTTATGAAAAAAGAAACAATACAACAAGCGAAGTTTCAGAACAAAAAGCAACAGCTGCAGTCAATCAATCCAACTCCAGAAATAATCAACGTGCGGGCACCTCACAAAATATTAATAAACTATTTGAGTTTTCACCTTCTTGCAAATAAAATACGTAGTAAAAAGTCATTGCTTTGTAGTATTTTAGAACATTACAATAAAATTAAATGCGTATTTCGCCATTGATTGATTTTAGAATTTAAATTGATTAATTAATAAATTGAAAGAATAATATTGTATGTAATTCTCGTTCATCATCATATAGAATAATGAAAAATATATACAACTTCCTTAACTTGAATATAAATTATAGACGTACTTTCAATCAAGTTCAAATTAGATTTATGTGAATCTACTAAGAATGCATCGAATACGACCATGATTGACAAGACAATATCAAGGTAGTATCATGAATGACTTTTTTTTTCTATTTCAAGGTATCGGTATTATTTTTAGAAAATGAAAACGAGACAAAAGAAAATATGATACGAACAAAAGAAAAACGAAAGAACAAATCTAGTTATGTTTTTCGTTATATATAAGCAGAAAATATCCTAAAATAGAAACTTAAATCGTCTTCTACACATTATGTTAAATCGAGGAATAGAGAGAAAAAAAATATATAGTCTCGTTTTTTGTTTTGAAAATATATTAGTTTAGCCTTCAAGTTCAAGTCCTAAACCGACTTTATGTCCGCCAGCATTCAAATTTCGAGCTTCAAACAAAGCTGATAATGTTAATTTGGCACCTAAATAATCAATTTATAAATATTATTTCTATATTAAAACAAAAAAATTATTAGTACATACCTGGACGAAGAAGTTGTTGAAATGAAACACCAACTTGACAAATATTATTTACTTTAACACCAATTGCAGTTTGAGAATCAAGTTGATATTTTGAAGCAAGTGCAAATCGTGTTTGATTTGTACCTGCTGACCATGCTAATTGAACACCAGTTTCAAGACGATTATTAAGACGTTGATAAACACTACCACCAACTTCATTACCGTCATTTCTAAACAAATGATTTAAAATAAATCACTATGAATTTAAAAATACTTACAAATTAGCAAATAATGTAAAATCTTTTGCTTTATATCCAACACCAAAATTATTCTTTGTTAATGCTCCTTTAGCTGTACTATAAACATATTGATAACCAGCTAACCATCCTTGATGTCCTAAAACAATAGCTCCATTAAGAATTGGACCAGCAGCATCAAAACCAATGTTTGTTTCAACATGTGCTTTATCATGTACATAAGATGTACGAAGATCAGCAGTTTTTTTTCTTGAATAAACAAAAAATACATGATTTTTCGTTTTTTTGTAATAATAAAAATAAATAAATCTAAATTTACCCTGTAGTTGGAATAAGACTTCCATCAAAAGTAATTTTAAAACCTTGAGCTAATTGATCATCAGCTGTTATTTCACATTTAAGTAAATTATCTGTATTCCATTTTTCCAAAAATGTTAAACCATATTCAGGTACAACATATTTTGTTTCAAGGCTACCAACTGTTCTTGCTGTTTCTGTATTATGTTCACCAACAACATTAAAATTAACGCCATTAGCTGTACGAGTTTTAACATCAAGTTTAAAGGTATTGAAATCTAATAAATAAATATATATATATAATAGCGAATTAAATAAAAATAAACTTACAATAGCCTTTATTAAATAGATCTGTTACTTGTTTATTAAGATCGCCAAATTTTGGTGGAGCCATGTGTTGGATTTAAGCGAAAGAAGTATTTATCTTGATATCAAAAAACAAAGCAAATAAATAAATAATCTAATAGTTTAACACATATGTAATTTTTGATTGGTACAAATATTAACCAATAGGAAACAATTATGTAGAAAAAGTATTGTTTTTAAAGAAATTCTATGCGAAAAATTTTCTTATAGAAAAATGATTAATATTTAAAAAAATCAAATTCTATTGGTAAACATATAGTATAAAATAGTGTTAGACAACGGAGGCAGTCGCTCAGTTTAATCACAGTGCAATGGCAAAATTCGTGATCGCAGGTAATGCCTAGCAATTGATATTGAAAATTTTCATTAAAATATTCCTTAAATCTTTAGGAAAAACTAATTGTCCACTCTATGCCAAAGCTGAATTACTGGGAGATTATCTTCAACGTAATCTACCCAATTTTGTTGTTCATAAATGGCCAATTGACTCAAAAGTATGCAAAATTGCAAAAAGCAATAATAAAAAGATAGATATTGAAAGCAGCAAATTTTAAGCAGTGGCGGATCTAGCTATTCGGTGACCGCCACCCCCTCGAAAATAGATAAAACGCTAGATTTCTCTCCTAAAAAATAATACTGTTTTCAATTTTTTTTTATAAACCACCACTGATTTTAAGGCATTTACTACTACTAACAACTATATCAGATGTTTGAGATTATGATTTAAGTTTTATCGTTTATCTTAATTTCATTAAAATCTGTTTTTTCTTCAATGCGAAATTGGACACTGACAATATTCAAATATATATTTAGGATTGGGATAACTGGGTAAAATCAACCTGTGAAAAAAATCAATGGAAAGCGCC